CATCAGATATCAACTTCCAAATCTATGAGCCAATGTCTGGTAAGAGGTTGGCTGATCACAACCTACATGTTGTTCCATGGTAAGAAAATAAAGAACTTTTTAATTAACAAAATCCCTCCTTAGAAACTGAAGCTAGGTAAGTTCATACATAGGAGAGGTACATTTTTTTTAAGCTAGGATGATAAACTACTGAAATAACCTACAAAGATTTCTCACCACTTGAAATCTTCAAAGCACGAGTGTCTTAATTTTAACATATGTGCTCTTGCTCAAATGATGTTTAGACTTCATGCACAAATTACTGTGTGAAAATTTTGTGTTATGCAGGAAGTCAGGCTAAATTATCACTATGGCCCCTTCTGTCCTTGAAATATATTAATCTAGTTTGCAGAAGAGACACTTCACTGTTGTTGACAGAATAAAACAATGCTGTATTCTTTCATGTTAATCACTCCCCCTCAAAATGCACCATCAGCTCCATACAGTTGTATTCTGTTTCAGAACACTTTTGCTTACATCAGTCAAGAGGCATGTAACAAGTATTGTTACATATCAGCATTTTTTTTGTTTTAGAGAAAGAGCCATCATTTTCATTCATGTTTTACCAGCCAGAAAAATAGAAGCTTTAATATTTTATATTTCTAAATATTTTTTCAAACATCAGGGAGGCTTCACAACCTCTTTAGAAGGTAGGAAAGTGTTATCCCTATTTCACTGACAAGATGCATTAAGCCACTTAAAATTACCTTGACAGTCTAGCAAAAGGCAAAATATGGCATATTACAGTTGCTTTCACTAACAGGTCAATCTGCATCACAAGAATTAGTAAATCAGTATCTGTACAGAACTGTCCATCAGGTCATTTTCCTCTCCAGAAGCATTTGATTCTTTTATGAAGCAGTCCTTGATCCCGTTTCAAAGTAGAAAGAAAGAGAACCACAACTCTTAATTTTTACCTGCTCCTGTACATCTTCAAACTCTGAGCTGAGCAGCTCTATGAAGATGGGGACAGCTCCTGCTTGAATCACAATTCGAGTCTGAAGGGAATTTCCAGAGGCAATGTTTGTCAGCACCCAAGCAGCTTCAAACTGAAACATAAAATACAGGGAAATGCTCACCATCAGCATAAAAGTTTAAATGCATTCTATAAGAAAGCAAGCATAAGACAAAAAAAAAAAATCACAGAGCAACTAAACAGCTAACTGTGCTAAATTTGCAAACAATTTCAAGTATCAGAATCATATGGAATTGAATTCAAAATTGCAGGAATGATTTATACACACAACATCACATTTCCCATGGAATCTCAGTTATAATTTATTTTTGCTCAGAAGTTCCACAGCTTTTGCTTTATCCCATTTCTTTTTTTCATTGCCAAAGGGAACTACATGCAAGAATGCAATTCTTCGGTATGATTTTTTACAAGGCTGGAGTTCTCAGGGCCTCTCAAGTTTCCAGCATATTGCACAAAGTAGGGTCTGATGTACCTGAACAAATACATACGGAGAATCAGTGAAGCATAACTGAAGTTTGCTCAACACAATTTAGTCACTCTCAAAATTTGGGGTGTCATTTTTAAATCCAGTAGGAATGAAGATTAAAGAACTTGCTAACATCTTTACAAGTTCTTTTGCCCTCAGTTACAACCTGGCATCACCCTTCAGTTGGAGTATAATTCTTTGAGTAAAAAATTAGTAATACACGATGTCTGTGAATTAAACTGAGACCCAAATTTAAATCGTCTTGAGGATTTTAAGAATGATAAATATACTTTGTGCTATAATGTGACACAGGTAATAACCCTTTTTTCAATAGGTTCAAGCTATTTGAGCTACTAGGTTCTCCCCCAGTATTCAAGGCTCTTTTCTTGTGATAGTGTAAATTATGGTTTTAGCTGTGATAGTCCAGAAACTATACAAGAAGCCAATTTCTTCTGTTAACTGTTGGTCTGCTACCCCTGGGAATTTCTCCCTTCAATTTCACAGCTCTACCTATTGTTCTTAACTATTACTGTGCGTGCTTCCCTCCTCAGACCCAATGAAGAATGCCTTGCATTCAAAAAGCCTGTCTAACTTTTCCCCAACAATGCAGTAGGGTCCAATAAAATGTAATCAACCTAAAAAAAAAAATCTCTCTCTCTCCCATAATTCCTGGACCATCATAGCTACAACATCACTCCAACATTACCAAATATATATTGAACAAAAACATGTCAATATGTCAATCCCTTGGTCTTGTCATGGGTTGAGCCCATGACAAGAGGTGAGCCCAGAGACGCAGAGTCTCTCTCTACTGCTCTACAACATATCCTTGGGGCTTTGACCGAATCTTGCTTCAGGGCCAGCTCCTCTCCTAGTAAATCTCTGTCTAACCAGTAGTCCATCTGGACCTTACAGCTTTGTGGACAATGATCTCCCAGGCTCTTAGGACTCCCTGGGATTACAAAATAAAATGGGCCGGCTGCCCTGAAGGAACAAAATGCCAACTGCTGCCAGCCACCCTGAAATCACTCATTACCAAACAAAATAGAAGGTAAAAAGCCAAAACAGATTTATTATGCAAGACAGACAAATATAAAGCAAGAAGGTTGTCAAGTTTGGAGACAAATACAAAACAAAACCAGAAATCTCCTGAAATGAAGCAGGCTCCTGGTGATTTCTGTGCTTCCAGCAGCTAGCAATCCTGCTAGCTTATTAGGTAATGCTCCAGCCTACTTTGCTCTTTTCTCTAAACTCAACGT